CGCCTCTCTGGGCTCATGGCAGAAGTGTGCGGTAACCGTGTGCAAGTATAACGTGGCCAGCTCATTGCATGGCCCAGGCGAGACGGGTTTGTGTGCGGTTTGCAAGTCTCGATACGGGAATTTCTTCCACGCAGTGAATGCGCCGGCTCGTCGATGCTGTGTGCTTTCCATCCACGCACCCTGGGTGATTGTCTGAAATCGAACGCAATTGTAGGGGCAGCGGACACAGCTGGCACCTTCCCAGTCTTACAATTAGGGCCCTGCATGCCCCTCATTTTATGAAGCAAGAAGTTCCGCGGGAGTGAGTGATGCTGTCGGGAAGCTGTAGGAGCGCTCCGGCGTCAGCACGTCTATGAGTTTCCAGACGACCGCATTATCTCGGTACTAGCTAGTGCTCACATACGGTGATGCTCAGCACAGTTGGAGGGGAGGAGGGAGCAAGCGGGCGAGGGCCCATCAAGCCGGATGTGAGAGAGGCCTAACAGGGCCACTTCACAGAGGAGTGTGAAGATCCTGGGCACTGGCAGTCGAGTGGCTTCCTCCAAGTGCTATTGATCGGCGCATTTCCAGACAGCTTTGTTTCGGGAAGAGAAAATGGAGTGGAGAAGATGGGACAGGATGCTGCTGCTGGTGCACGAGAGCCACTGGAGCGCAGTGGCAGCGGCTGAGGGTCATTGAGGAGACGAGGGAGTGACCCAGAATGCTGCTCTGCGCGCCTCCCTCCCTTCTATCATTTCCCATTTCTGTTTTCAAACGGCGCCTTGAAAAAATTCATTCGGTCGCCCTCTCCCATTTCTGCAGGCCTGCTCAAGCTACAGCCTAAAATAGCTGGGCTTGCCGGGAAGTTGCATTGTCAGATATCTACGTACAGCGACGGCAAACTTTTCCGGCTCTCTCCGATTACTGGTACCGGTGTTTCTAGTTCTCTTTCAGCCACCGTCCGCACACGAGAAATACCCACCAGAGGACCATTCTTCGTGATTTCCCGGCCCCAGAACTATTCTTTGGTTATTGGCCCGGCACCAGTACCATCGTCCTTGCATGCATTTCGTTCGATCGCACGAAAGTGCGGCATGAAGATGATATTTGCCTGACGCGCTGCCAGATTCCCTTTTCCTCTCCGCTCCTTCCCTTCCTCATTCCCCCTCCCCCCATAGAAGTTCAGTTGATTACTTTTGCAGTCTTCCAGAATGCGTTAAGTCGAGGACTGATTGCAGCCAATTCAGAAAGCACTATCACTGAGCTACCAGTGAGGATAGGGTCCGCCATTGGTTTTTTGCGCAACTGTAACAAAAAAATAACAATTGGCCAACGCACGGGCCGCCCGTGCGAAAATGCGTTTTTTGCGTAGTTCCCCCCAGTTTTTGTCGCTACCA